ATTTTATTTTTTTATAAATGCATTTATTTTGAATTGTAAAATTTATTTTTGTATTATTTGGTAATATTGTGTAATTATTAAATAAAATAAATCTGTTTTCTTTATGTTTTACTGTTTTTATTTTTTTTTTCAAAGATATTTTCGGACCGAAAACGGTCTGGATATATTTTGAGAATGGCGCCGGTTGGGAGATGGAACTTTAAAAAGTTACAAGCAAGTCCACAATATTCGGACCGAAAACGGTCTGCATATAGTTTGAGAATGGCGCCGGTGGGGAGACGGAACTTTTAAAAGTTACAAGCAAGTCCATAATATTCGGACCGAAAACGGTCTGGATATAGTTTGAGAATGGCGCCGGTTGGGAGACGAAACTTTTAAAAGTTACATGCAAGTCCATAATATTCAGACCGAAAACGGTCTGGATATAGTTTGAGAATGACGCCCGTCGGGATACGGAACTTTTAAAAGTTGCAGGCAAGTCCAATATATTCAAACCGGAAACGGTCTAGATATAGTTGCAAGTTTTAAAAGTTGCAACTGGGTCCTCCATATTCGAACCGATCCCGGTCCGTATATATTTGCGATGCCTCTTTCCGCCACAGTTACAGGCCGTTGTCGGTTCGTACATATTTTATTATTTTATTATATTTTTTTGGGACCAATTTCGGTCCGCTTATTTCAATTTCTCAATAATCATTTATATTTCTTACTGAAATATCCGGACCGATTTCGGTCCGGATAGTATATATATACGGACCGATTATACGTCGGTCTATATATTATACTTATTGGTACCAGGTTTTTTCAGATCAACTATAAGGACCAATATCGGTCCGTATATCTATATTCAGACCGATTTATAATATATCCAGACCAATAATTCGGTCTGGATATCCGATTCCTGCAGTAGTGGTGATGGAGTTTTTTATTGTACTTTCTTATTATTCAATATATTTCTCCATTTCTCATCAAAAAAAAAAAATTAAAACCAAAAATTTGGTTAGTCAAATATCAATTTCGGTTTGAACCAATAATAACCAAAAATTATTGTGAATGGAGGGCCATGCCTATGTAATAATATCGGTTTCGGTCTCGAAAATTTATTAGCACAATAAATTGTTTATCACTATTCTTGATTTTAGCACCAAGAACAATCAGGCCTTTCTAATCCACCAATTGCTTCTAATCAACAGGCTATAGTCACCTAAGTAGGATAAGAAATGAGAAAAAATAAGAGAGGAGCTAGTATAAACTATAACCAAGGCCTATTCTGCAGCATACTTTACTTCTTCGGATAAAAAAAAAAGACTACCAACTGCCGACAGCCAAAAAAAAAAGAAAAGCTGACTCAGAGAAATAATACATGTGGCTTGAGACGTCAACAGTAATTGGGGTCAAAGACATATGAGATGTATGAAACAAGAGATATATAAATAATTTTAGCATATGTGCAACATAAGTTCACAATAGCAACCATGCACAATTATGCCCTCAAAGTACATGGATCTGTTTAAATCTGCAAAAGCCCCCTGTGATACTCAATTACTCTGTTTTTTAAATTTGTTAACATTTTTAATCAAGCCAAACAATTTTTCCACTGTAAGTGCGTCAAAGTTTCCTGAAGATTTTCAGATTTGATATTGATCTTCCTTCTTCTGTGGACTGACATGTACCCATAATTAATGAATAACACTAGTCATGTAAATATATCTCAATCAGGTACCTTTCTGTCACTCGGGGAGGCTTTGCAGACCCGATATCAAGACCACGGGAAACCTGCAACAGAAAACCTCAGGAATAAATCTACTAGGGAAAAGATCTCATCACTCACTGTGAATGGAAGGCCATATCTATGGCACAATTTTAAGGGCCTTCAGGCCATTTTTAAATATGATCCATTATGATAGATAAATTTCAGAAAGAGTGCACAACTGACAAATATGGGGTGGGGTCGGAGGGGCAAAGAAGAGCACCAGAAAGGTACAAAAAGGATGCAGAAGGGACAACAATGAAAGAAAAAATTAAAAGCAACCACTGCCCTTAGTGCCCTAGATCTTGAACATTAATAATATTCTCAACAGAGCCCAAGAAGTTCAATAATGGAACTGAAAGAAAAATGACTCATATAGAAACTGGAATCTAGACTTAATGCTCGTAAATAATTACTAGCTTTCACAACTCCACCGTCCCAGGAGGCTCTAGAATGAACATGAACATGTCATCCTCAACACCATTAACCATGTTTCTGAAATATTGCTGTCTTCACAAGATACAAACCCGAATTGTCTTTGGCACCAACCGGCTAGTAACAGAAATGGAAAAAGAACAGGCACCAGTATTGTGTAGCAACTAGAACATGCAGGTTATCTACCAGTTCTCTTCCAGCCATCAACTCTAGTATATAGGAACACTAGCAACGAAACCATAATAAGAATTATAATGATACCATTCACCAAATAACCTTCGCTCCAATTAGGTCGATGTCTCAATTAGTCTTAACAGGAATAAGATTTCCTTATCCAAATTTCAGATTAGCATAGGAAAAAAAAAAGGACCTTGGATATGATTTCTTTTATTCCGGAACACTAAACCAACTTTAAGAAACCAAAATCCTTTCTTTGTAATTCAAAGTTCTAATTGCATGAATATTCAGGAACCCTGATACAATTTCTTGCGTTCCACTACAACTGATCATCAGAACACAAACGATCATCAATCGATTACCCAAAAGCCGCCCCAAGGTAATTTCCGTTTTTACCCCATATGATTTTTTATTTTTTCATATATTATTTTTTTACAAAAATAATATAATTATAATTTTATATAATATTATAAATTTTTTATTTAAAAATTTACTTATAATATTAAATAAATAATTTATTTAATATTATATTATAATTATAAATTTATAATTTTATATAATATTATATTTATAATATTACAGTAATTTACTGACAGCATGAATCATGACAGGCCAAAGAAATTATTGACTTTGAAAAGGACACATATGCTGTGCTATGCTATGCGATGGGAAAAAAAATATTGTTCATAAAAAATTAGCATTTTTATGGCCAAAAAGGATTATAATTTTTAATTTCGCCTACATCAATTTTGAATCCTCAATACAAAAAAATAAAAAAAGGAGTACGAATCAATAACCATGCAACATATTATTAGAATTGTGGTTAAATATAATTTCACGTAAAATTGAGTGACTTAAGAATTAAAAATATATCTCTTTCATTATTATGTACCTGTTTAAATTTTATTGTTAATTATACCATATATGATACAAAAACATTGTATCCGGTGAACTCTTTCCTCTGATACAATTTATCAAAGGATTTTTTACCAAATTTATTAGTATGCAATAAGGGATTTAAGATTTGATGATAATTTAAGGAGTTTTTAGAAAAATTATTTTTTCCCTTAAAGTTGTTCAAATCAATTTTTTAGAAGATGGAAAACTAAAAATATTAAGTATTCACAACTATTAAATATGTAAAATATATTATGAATCTTAATTTTATTAAATTTATTATATAATTATTATTAAACGCTCTCATATTTAAAATATATGAATTAATAATTCTACTTTTATATACTAAATATTTGTTTTATTAGTAAATAAATTATACCACAACCCCTTTCTTTTTATCTTTTCTCTTTTCTTTGCTTTTGTATAGCAAATAACTTTACGAAAAAATGAAAAAAGAAGCTTTAGAGGGCTGGCAGAATATTCTAGAAGATTCACAAGCATCTTTCCTCATCCCAACCTCTTTTCAGCCCTATTTTAGGTCGTTACAGTTACAATTACAATTGGCCAAGAAAGAAAGTTTGTTGCAATTTTAGATGAAGAAGATGGGATCACATTGAAGAAATAAACTAAACATTTGTTAATTTTTTTTTTTTTTGATCAGCAAAACAAAGAAAGAATATTATTATAAGGAGTGCAATGGATACTCCAACCCATTTACATAATTAAGATGCTATTGTAAACAGTGACCAAACCAAACCAGCACCAAAAAATAGCAAAAATGCAACCGGTACCTTCATTAAGTACCAGGATGTTGCCTATGAAAAGTCTTCAGCTGTGTCTTAAATTATTTTATAGCCACAGCATAGTCCACGGGGTGCTCCTTCCACTCATAAAAAGAAAACACACATCCATCAACTTTATTTTTGATCCACAAAAATGACTTCATTTGTATCCTATCCACCAAATGCTCCCCCATACTCATAGAATCATTGAAGACACAATTGTTCCTCCAACACCATAAGAACCATGCCACAACAAGGAAAATATATGCACTCACCTCCTTCCCAGTAATACCACCCAAATCATGCAAGAAAAATTCTGTTATCCCCTGAACTGTATTGCACATCACAGTCTCAATTCCCCACCAACGCAATACTTTAACCCAAATCAACCAAGCCTCCCTACATGTACAAAACAAATGATCAACCTCCTCCACCACCTCATGACGCAAACCATAAAGTAATTCCTCCTGCTGCAAACACACTCCCCTTTTTTGCAAGTTCCGTTTTGTTGGAAGCCTATCAAGACAAAGACTCCATCCAAAAAAACTAACTTTTGAAGGCACTAGTCGACACCAAATAAACTTACAAAGATGAGTATCAAGGAGGCGCACATAAGAAGCTAGGAAATCATATGCTACCTTAACTTTATATTGTCCTCCCGGTGCATGTATCCAAGTCCAAGAATCCCTCCTCCCTTTCTTCAAATGAATATTATCCAACACCCTCCATAAAACCTCCTCCTCATCCCTTTCTCGACCCAATCTTCCCCTTCTCCAAGACATATTCCATCGCCAGCTATCTCCCTCCCATAGCCCCATCTCACTCACATAACCTTCCTTATTAACAGCCAACGCATATAATCTAGGACAAGAATCTCGTAAAGCCTTAGCTCCAACCCAACTCTCCCACTAAAAACCCACACTACTACCACTCCCCACCTCCCATCTAAACCCTTTCACCAACATATCCCTCAATCTAACAAATTTCCCACCTAAGCTAATAATATCCTTCCACAACTTCAAAATCCTTAAATGTGCAACTGCTGTGATATCAACCACACACCGATCCTCATAATATTTTTCCTTCGCTACTTGTTTCCACACACTCTCCACACCTTCACCAAACTAAAACCACCACTTCCCTAATAGTGCCCAATTTCTCCTCCTTAAATCCGGAACCCCTAAACCACCCTTAACCCTACTAACACATATGTAATCCCATTTAACCCTTGCAATTTTTCTAAGCAACTTAGCCCCTCCCCATAAAAATGCCCTTGGAATTTTAACCATCTCAGAAACCACAAAAATTGGTAACAAAAATAAAGACATATAAAAAGTAGGTAAAGCAGAAAGTATCGAATTTAGCAAGGTGATGCGGCCACCAAAAGACAACAAGGCTGACTTCCAAACGGCAAGTTTGGCTTGAAACCTATTAACCACCGAATCCCATATCTTTTGACTTCTAGATTTACCCCCAACTGGCAAACCCAAATACAAGAAAGGTGTTTTGCCAACACCACACTGCAAAGACCATGCTACCCCATTTAACCATCTCGACGAGACATTAAATCCATAAACATTGCTTTTACTGAAATTAATCCGTAGCCTCGACATCAAGTCAAACCATAGTAGCACGATTTTAACCACGAAAATATTCTCCGCATCAACTTTACCCAAAATCACCGTATCATCCACAAATTGAAGTAAAGATATAACCAAACCCCTTCTCCCTATAGAAACACCTCTAAACAAACCTTCCGATTCAGCTTTTTTGAGTAATCCATGTAATCCTTCCCCAACCATCAAAAAAAGAAAAGGAGACAAAGGATCACCTTGCCTTAAACCGTTTCCAACCCCAAACTCCTCAGTCGGACTACCATTGACTAAAACTGAAACCTTTGCTGTCGATAAACACTCCTTAATCCAACCTCGCCACCTAACGCCAAAACCAAATTGTTCCATCATCCAATCCAAAAACGACCAATCAACACAATCATAAGCTTTTTCGAAATCTGCTTTGAAAACAAAAGCTTGCTATTTACTCTTCTTCACTTCATCCACAACTTCATTCAAAGCTAAAACATCATCTATCAATTGACGACCCCCCAAGAAAGCAGATTGAGTTTCACTAATAATCTCTGGCATCACCAATTTAAGTCTATTAGCTAACACCTTTGCCAACAATTTATAGTCACACCCAATCAGACTAATAGGACAATAATCCTTCAACTCTGTAGGATTATGCTTCTTTGGAATTAAAGTCAAAAAGGAAGAATTTATACCTTTTACTAACTTGCCATTTTGATAAAATTCATTGAAGAAGTTGACAAAATCTTCCTTTAAAGTACTCCAAGCGAATTTGATGAAATTGAAATTATACCCATCAGGCCCCAGTGCCTTAGTGCCCTCACAGCTCCTTAACCGTTCTTCAATCTCTTCAGTTGAAAATGGTCTCTCCAACCACACTTTCCTCTCCTCAGAAATCTGTTGTAAACATATCCCAGTCGACTTAGGTCTGTTCCATAAGTCACCTTGAAACAACCTAGAAAAATATTTGGCAATCTCCCTTTTAACCAAATCCGGCTCCTCCACCCAACGACCATCACAAATGAGGCCCATTATATTATTCTGTGCCTTTCTACCATTCGCAACTTTATGGAAAAATCTAGTGTTTGCATCACCCAACTTCACCCAGTTGCTTCTCGATTTTTGCCTCCATATAACCTCTCTTTTTCTCAAAATATCCCACATTTCCTGCACTCCCTCTTGTCGTTGACTCAACTCAAACTCTTCCAAGTCAAAATCTTCATTCTTCATGTCCAACTGATCCACCATATTTGTTACTTTTTCAAATTGAGCATCAACATTCCCAAACACTTCCCTATTCCAGCCCTTTAAAAATTCCTTCAACAACCTTAGCTTTTGTTGACATCAATAACCTGCATATCCGTTAACCACCATCTCTCTCCACTTAGTATCCACTATTGTCCGAAAATTTGGATGTAGCTCTCATGCGTCTAACACTCGGAATGGTTTCGGACCCCAATCTACACTTGTTGTATGCAAGATAACAGCCAATGATCTGGCACAATCTTTTGCATCCCCTTCTGCATCCACTCGTTCCCCATTTCATACATCTCCTCCGTCATAAAAAATCTATCCAATCGACTCATAGAAGAGCCATCCGGACGGCACCATGTAAAACGCCTATTTGCTAGTATGATATCAATTAGTCCTGTTGTTTCAATAAAAGCATTAAACTCGTCCATCTCTGGGCATTCTTCCTCTCCGCTCTTTCAGATATCTAATAGCATTGAAGTCACCTGCAATCAACCAGCGTCCACCCTTTTCCATAACCATCTTACCCAACTCCTCCCATAATCTGACCTTAGTGTGCCTATCTTGCGGAGCATAAACATTCACAAAATAGCACAACACCTTCTTCGGACCCCAAACCCATTTAATGACCAAAAAGCCATCCCCAGTAAACTCTCCTAACTTGACAAATTTAACTTTATCCCAGATACAAAGCAAACCTCCAGAAGCACCCAACGACTCCATCATAGCCCAATCACAGCCATCTGAATACCACAACCCCCTACACAAAATCCCATCAACCCTTTGCAATTTAGTTTCCTGCAACAACAAAAAATCAGGTCTCTCTTTCCTTACCTCCTTCCTCTTCAACACTCCCCCCAATCCCCTAACATTAAAAGACAAAAACTTCATAATTAAAGAAAACACGCACAAACCCACCAACTACCCACCTCAAACATCTCTTCTACGCTCCCCCTTCACCCCCCCTCGTTCTTCAACTTGCAACAATCTAGATTGAACCTCATCCTCATTTCCTTGTATCTCAACACCCAACCTTTTGCCCACACTAATCATCTTTCTCACCTCAAACAAGTTCATTTCCCTTTGTATCACTTGATTTCGATTAGCAATGCATACATTTGAAAGAAAAAACTACCACATACCTTCACCAATGCCTTTTGTTGAGCTTGCTTCCACCTTTTTTGTCGCTGCTTTGATCTTGTTGTAACCCACGAAGTTCTATTATCCTCAATTTCTACCATTTTTTGTGAATAGGATTCCCCGATCTGCTTCCTTCTTCTACCCGTGAAGCTCTTGTTTTCCAAAAGCTGAACAGAGGTCGTGCCATCCTCATCTACTATAGTGGCCTTTATGTGATTTGCACCATCAGCTTATCTAAAGGAATCCCGTGCAACAGGCCCAACAGACTCCTCTGGCCCAACCCGGCTAATACTCTTCAACTCATTAATTGTCTACGGCCCATGAACTTTAGTAGGCCCACCACATTCATCATCGTCATCAGCTTCTGTTTTCGAACACTCCTTTGCATCAGTTTCCATTGCAGAGTTACTTTTAAAATTCAAAACGCCTTCCTTCTCTAACAGATTCTCATCATTAAAATTCTCCTCATTCCCCCCTCCATTTTCGGCCAAAATCAAGTCATAATCCTCATTTCTGTTTTGCAACGAAGAATAGTCGGATTCCAATTCTGTTTCGGTCTCCCAGTCGTCGTTCGTCAGCCAGAAGTCAGGATCGGAGCGCCATTCCTCCTCTGCCACCCCTACCGAATACAGCTGGTCATCCACTTTCAGTTTAACAATTCTAGATACTGTACTCATTTCAGAACACAAAATTAACACCCTTCCATCACAAAATTGATCTTTTTGTTGTGTCTTCATGAATCGAGACCACCTCTCCCACTGAATTTCCTATCTTTTCAAAGCATCTATCACACTAGGCTTTTAACGGCACCCCAGAAATACGTAACCACACCAATCTACTACTTTCTTGAGTCGCCAGTGACCATGGTTTCACTGACTCAAACCATAAATCGAATAATTCTTTATTTTGCTGTAAATAATCTTCCAAATAACCTACTTCATGTTCCGTTAATAACACTCGCCTTCCTCCCAATAGAGATACCGTGATCACCCCCCCATCCACAGCTATCCTCTCTTGAATACTGGTTATCGATGCTACCGACCTAACCACTGCCACCATACTTCCTTCAAGCCAGCTAACCTCTTCCTTCGTAGGTGTAAAATTGATAACCTCCTCCTAAGGTTGTTCCTGGATGTTCTCCGCCACTCTATTGCTTGTATCTTCCTTGACACAGGACCCCACCGCCTCCTTCTGCATAACCTGCACATCCATCTCACCCACTCTCCTAGCATGAGCAGAACGCTCCTTAATTTCTGATCGAATGCCCACCACTACTTGTGCATATGATTGACCCGGTTGAACAAGTCTATCCATCCTGCTCCTTGGCTGACGTTCCTTAGCCACCCTTTGTCCCTCTCGCACTCCCATACCTGATCTTCTATTCTCATCAGCAACCTTCACCCTGACCTTATATGATCCAATCCAGAAATCATTAAACCTCCTCTCCAATTCTTTCTCTGACTGCACTCCGGCCATACGAACAAAACCGAAACGCTTCCCCCATTATCCCTTCGCCCAAGCACATATACATCCACAACATGCCCATAATTCTGGAAGCGATGCCATAAATCCTTTGCACTTTAAACTATAAAACAAAATTTTCATATATATATATATATATATATTTTATTAACTATTAAATGAAAATTAAGACTTTGATGTTAAAGTTCTCCTTCCATCCAATGGTTCTCTTTTTACACTTCAAACTATAAAACAAAATTTATATATATATATAAATTCATTGCTTTATAGTTTATTTTAATATTAGAACTCTCCCCTAATTCAATGATCATTTTTTATAGTTAAATATAATTCAAATTGTAAAATATATTTTAGGCTCTAATATTGAAGTCCTTGTACTATCCAATGGTTCTTTTTTCACACTCCATACACTTTAAACTGTACAACAAAATGTTCATATATATATATATATATATATAAGTTCACCATTTTATAGTTTACCTTGATATTAGAACTTCCCTCTAATTCAATGGTTCTTTTTTATAATTTAATATAATTCAAATTGTAAAATATTTTTTTAATATTTATTATATTCACAATATTATGAATTAATTATGTTTTGCCTTTTTCATCTTCTCACCTTCCCATTTTTCATAATATTTACACACCAAATAATGATATAACTTCCATTACTTCCATGCAATTTCAATGGTAATTGAGACCCAATAATATCATGCATTCGGATGGTGATAATGAAATTTCTTGTAACCCCTCCATTGGTAGGTTATTAATCTTATGTAACCTCTTATTTAGTAGATATTTATTTGTTGAAACTCCTATCACCTATTTGCCTTGGGTTTGTACTCTTATAAAGGTATGGTGAACAGATAGAGAGCAAATGGAGAAAAAAAGAATAAAAATATATTATATTTTTGTATTGTCTTATTTTGTCCCTCTAATTTTCTAATTAATTCTTTCTTTTATTTTCCAAGTATTAAACTGAAAGATTGAGTTAAAGGTTACAATCATCAAAGTACCGGAACGAAAGCGTGGTGGGTCCGTAACCCAGAGGTCTTAGGATCGAAACCTGGCTCTAATAGGAGTAGCTTCTCCACTCTCCTACCATACCAAAAAAGGAAAAAAAACAGAGAGAGAGTAATAGAGGACTAGAAAGTTTTTATTACACAAAATGAAGAAAATGCATAGAAATGCATCCATTCCCGCCACCTTCAAAATTCCTGTGTTTGTGTGTACAAAATCAACATTCTCTTTGGTTCTCAAAGATGACTTCTCAAACAATGCACAACTGAGGCTTCACTGCAGGAAAATATTGAGAACGCATAAACCCAAGGTTCAAGGAAAACTCAATACATCATAATAAATCTATGGTCTCACAAGGCATACCTATCTCTGCTGATATACACCTTCGGATGTTCAAAGAGAGAAGCCAAGTCAAATTGAAACCAGTCCATTGCTTGACGCTTGAGTTTGCCTTATCTAGTCTAGAATATCAGAACAGTCTTCATGGTATATAAAATGCCTTCATTCAAACATGCCCTTTAGCTTATAGCACGAATTGCACAGGTGGAAAGGTGTGCTTATAGATGCACATTTGGCTACAAATTACGACTATATGCAATGATTAGTAATTTATGAGCATACCTGTTTTTGGGACGGTATGCCTTCATTTTGGAGCCTTCATTTTGGAAACTTCATGGCGGTTTGATATGTCTTTCTTCATTTGAAGTGATTGAGGTACAGACAAAGTTCCAGTCTTAGCATGGTATGCATCACAAGTGAAGTTAAGAACCTCCTCCTACAAAAGTTTCATCCTCTAGATATATTAGCAAAATGATATCAAAAGATAATATTTCGTGCAATCCCTCAAAACTTTTATGGTAAAAAAATAAAAAAAACCTAAACCTATTCAATTTAGCATTTGGTTACCCTCCTGCCTGATATGTTAAGAAATATTAAATAACAGAAGAATAAAAGAATTGTTCTAAGGTGTGATCTCACTTTCCTTAAGGATTTAAAATCCTCCATGATACAACAGAACTTACAACTCTCTCAGAATTAGATGTAAAACTCTAACATCGCATAGGAATTTATAATGCCTGAAAAGTCACTATTTGAAGGGATGTATCCCTCCAAAAGACACCATTTCATAGAGGTACTTTTTGACTGCCAATAATCATGTCTGATTTTCAGACATGTCTTTCCAAATTATAATTTAATAAAATAAAATAAAAAATCCAAAAATAATAAAAAATTAAAGATGGTCTGGCAGTCAAGTGTCCAAGTGCCCAAGTGCCCATCTTTTGATTATATATAAAGGGCCAAGGCCCAATTTCCCTTGGGTTTCACTTTACTTAATTATTTGTTGATAAAGAATAGGCATTTATAAACTCCTTAAAATTCCCATACTTTATTGATGTGGGATCTCAAACATTTACAAACTATTCAACATTCCCCCACTAGTTTGGAAATGTTAATTCAGTTCTACTTGACAAGTAACATGCTTAAAGAAGGTATCTCTCGATTTAAACCTTCCATTAGTGTACATACTACATATCTAATGAAGTTATTGGTGTCCAAGGATTAAACCATAACTACTTATATTAGACATAAGTGTGTGACACACATAAGACTTGTCTACCTAATCCAAGAGGTTTAAAACCTTTTAGCACTATTATGACCATGTGCTCATCCTGCTAATAATGGTCATTTACAAGAGAATCCAACATCTTCTTGTTGAAGCGGCACCATTTCTATAACCATTTAGGTGGAGTTCTTTATGTCCCTGTTGCTATGGACACTTAGAAATGATCAACTCCATTAAGAGTTTACACTCGTCCTCCAAAACGCAACAATCAGCACTTGACTAATGTAGGAATAGGTTTCAAGTGCTAAATAGGCATATATAGTAACTTGTTTTTACCCATTAAACTTTAAATTTAGAAATGACTAAATAAAAGTTGGGTTCCCATTACCAATGCCTAATTTAAATATTTAAGCCCCATTCCTAATGACATCCTTTCCACCACATCTCGTGGTAATGCTTTTGCGAGAGGATCAGCTAGATTGTCTGTAGACCTTACATAGATTATTGTTATAACTCCACTAGTGATCAACTCTCGAATATAAGTATGTTTGAGACTAATATGTCTAGATTTCCCATTATAAATATTGCTATATGCTCTAGACATTGTAGCCTCACTATCACAGTGCAAGGAAATGGCTGGCATAGGTTGTGGCCACAACTTTATATCAAGCAATAAATTTCTCAACCATTCTGCTTCCTTGCCTACTGCTGCTAAAGCAATAAACTCATATTCCATTGTAGAATGTGAGATGCATGTTTGTTTCTTTGATGCCCAACTGATTGCACCTCCTCCAAGTGTAAAGATCCAACCCGAAGTAGATTTGTTATCACTCTTACTAGTGATCCAACTTGCATCAGTGTTTCCTTCTAAGACCACTAGATAATCTGAGTAAATCAAACCAAGCTCTTGTCTTTTTAAGATAACCAAGAATTCTTCTAATAGCTTTCCAATGTTCATGGCTTGGTTTACTTGTGTATCTTGATAATTTGCATACTGCAAAGGCTATATCTGGCCTAGTACAATGCATGGCATACATTAAACTCCCTATTGCACTTGCATATTCCAATTGAGCAACAATATGACCTAGGTTTAAGGTCAACTTCATACTAGGATCATATGGAGTAAGGGCTTCCTTTATATTAAGATGTTGGAATTTATTCAACATCTTCTCTATATAATGTGATTGACTAAGTACAAAGCCATGATCATGTCTCTTTACTTTAATACCCAAAATAGTATCTACTTCATTTAAATCTTTTATTTTGAAGATTGAAGTTAGATACTTTTTGGTTTCATTTATTCCCAACATGTTGGTACCAAATATTAACATGTCATCAACATAGAGACATACTATAACTCCATAATCCTTAGTGAACTTTGAATAGATACAATGTCTGCATCATTATACTTGAATCCATTTGCTAGAATATGTCTATCAAATTTCTGGTGCCATTGCTTGAGAGCTTGCTTTAGGCCATATAGTGACTTAACTAATTTACAAACTTTTCTTTCATTTCCAGGAAGTATGAAACCTTCTGGTTGTTCCATGTATACTTCCTCACTTAAGTCACCATTCAAGAATGTTGTTTTAACATCCATTTGATGCACAAACAGTTTATAAATCGAAGCCAATGCAAAGAGAACTCTTATAGATGTTATTCTTGCAACAGGAGCATATGTGTCAAAATAATATATTCCTTCCTTTTGAGTAAAACCTTTTGCAACCAACCTTGCTTTGAAGGTTTGTATTGTTCCATCTGTATTGTATTTTCGTCTAAATACCCATTTACAACCAATTGGTTTAGAACCATACGGAAGATCCACTAAAATCCAAGTATTATTGGATATGATGGAGTCCATCTCATCATTCACAGCTTCTCTCCAAAAAGCTGCATCCCTTGAAGCCATTGCTTCTTGAAATGTTTTTGGATCTTCTTCAACATTTAATACCATGGGTATTTTTTGAATTATTTCAGTTCTAGTTGCTTCAACTAGGAAGACAATAGATTGAGAAGAAATAAAATCAGGATCAAGAGACTTTTCTCTCCTAATCCTTGTACTTCTTCTTGGTTCAATTGAACCATCATTCTCTTTTCTTTTCTCCTCATGAAGTGTACTTGTACTTGTACCATTATGATTTTCATTCATTGAATTATTCAAAGAATTTCCAGAATAAAACATAGTAGAATAATCTTTAATAAACTTTTCTTCAAAGAACTCAACATGTACATATTCTACTATAACATTTGACTCTAAATCTAGTAACCTATAGGCCTTAGAATTAATTGCATAACCAACAAATGCGCTTCTAATGCCTCTAGGTCCTAGTTTTGTTCTTTGTGCATTTGGAACCTTATAAAAGGCAAGACACCCCTACACTTTAAGATAATTTAGATTTGGTTTTTTACCATTATTCCAAGTCTCATATGGAGAAACATGAGTTTTTTTTTTTTTTTTATGGAATTCTATTGGTAACATGATTGGCAGTAAGAAGTGCCTCTCCCCAAAGATTAAATGGCAACTTCAAATTTATCAACATGCAATTAACTATGTCAACCAAAGTTCTATTTTTCCTTTCTGCCAAACCATTCTGTTGGGGTGAATAGGGGGCTGTTCTTTGATGTATGATGCCATGTTCTTCACATAATTGTGAAAACATATCTAAAAAATACTCACCACCCCTATCACTATGAAGAGCTTTAATTCTCTTGTCTTTCTGATTTTCCACAACAGATTTATACTCTTTAAACTTGTCAAAAGCCTCATCTTTTGTTCTCATAAGATACACATATGTATATCTAGAACAATCATCAATAAATGTTATGAAGTATCTTTTACCTCCTCTAGTAAGATGACCATTTAATTCACAACTATCAGAATGCACTAACTTTAACATTTCTGTATTTCTTTCTCTTTTTGGAAAAGGTTTTCTAGTCATCTTTCCTTGCACACAAATTTCACATTTATTTTTAAAGTCATTTTGACAAGTTAAATAATCCATGCTTAGACATATATTTTAATGATTCATAATTCACATGTCCTAGTCTAGCATGCCATAAAGTAGAAGAACACTTAACAATATAAGCAGAAACATTATTTATTTCATTAATACTCAATTTGAACATTCCATCACAAGAATAACCTTTCCCCACAAAGTTGTCATTTTTTGATATAATGGCTTTGTCTGATTCTAAGACAACCCTCAAGCCCTTTTTACACAACAGATTTATAGACACCAAATTTTTTCTAATATCAGGCACATGGAAAACATTAACCAAGGTCAATTTGTGGCCCGAAGTGAACCTTAATTCCACTGTGCCTTTGCCTAGAACTTTTGCAGTGACATTGTTTCCCATAAGCACTTCTTCTGGTTCCTTCAAATCTTCATAAAACTTGAATTGTGCTTTGTTATTGCACACATGAACTGTTGCACCAGAATCCAGCCACCAATCCATAGACTTGGTTGGATTTGCCATGTTCAATTCAGTCACCATCCCGACTTGCATATCAGAAACCATAGCAACCAATTCATGCTCAATCAAATTTGCCTTGTTGCTTGTTTCTGCACTGGTGCCAGAACCGAAGTTCCTTGCATTATTCCTGAATTTGCAATCTTTAATGAAGTGACCTTTCTTACCACAATGGTAACAGGGCTGACTTTTCTTGAAAGAAACTTTCTTGAAAGCACTGTTTTTCTTAAGAGGCTTGAGTTTATTCTGGAAAGGCTTGGCAGAATTTTGACTCACATAATTAACTTTCAAGGGTGCCAATATTGCATCTCTTGAACGATTTTCTGCCTCAATCTGGAGATGTGTTTGAAACTGTTCCATAGTCAGAATTTCATCTGAATGCAGAACCTTTTTTCTATAATCATTCCAAGATGGAGGAAGTTTTGAAAGTACTGCCCCTACTTGAAGTGCATCTGGAATCTTTATCTCTAACTCTGACATTCTTGATACCAAAATTTGTAATTCATGCACTTGATCCATGATGGAAATGTCATCTTTCATTTCAAACTCAAAATATTTAAGTGCAAGAAACTTGTCCGTACCTTTCTTTTCATGCTTGTATTTCTTTTCCAAAGCAATCCAGATTTCTTGAGGAGAATACATGTTGCGATACAAATCATAAAGTCTATCAGTGAGGGAATTTAGAATGTTTCCACAACATATGAGTTCATCTTCTTCACGCTTCAATCTTGCATTCTTCACTGCTTCAGAATCATTTTCCTTCGGTGCTTGGATAGGTTGCAGTTTTGGATCAAGAACATATGACACCTTCAATGTTGTTAGTAGAAAAGTCATCTTATCCTTCCAACGCATGTAGTTGGTGCCATCGAACCTATCCAATCTGACGGCATCTGGATTCAGCAACTTGATGTTGGCATTTATAGGAAGATCCATAAGGAATTTTAAATCCTTAAGATTGTTAAGAAATATTAAATAACAGAAGAATAAAAAAATTGTTCTGAGGCGCGATCTCACTTTCCTTAAGGATTTAAAATTCTTCAGGATACAACAGAATTCAAAACTCTCTCAGAATTAGATGTAGAACGCTGACATTGCATAGGAATTTATAATGCCTGAAAAGTCACTATTTGAAGGGATGTATCCCTCCAAAAGACACCATTTCATAGAGATACCTTTTGACTACCAATAGTCATATCTGATTTTCAGACATGTCTTTTCAAATTATAATTTAATAAAATAAAATAAAAAATCCAAAAATAATAAAAAATTAAAGATGTTCTGGCAGTCAAGTGCCCAAGTGCCCATGTGCCCATCTTTTGATTATATATAAAGGGCCAAGGCCCAATTTCCCTTGAGTTTCACTTTACTTAATTATTTGTTGATAAAAAATAGGTATTTATAAACTCCTTAAAATTCCCATACTTTATTGATGTGGGATGTCAAATATTTACAAACTATTCAACATGATAAGTATACAAATCTAGCACAGGAAACAGTATATGATAGCATACTGCAGAATATCAATTTGTTTCATGAATGAATTGCAGAATAAAGGAAAAAGATTGGAAACCATGTGCCTCCCAAAACTCACCCCCCCACCCCCACCTCCCCAGCATCCAAGTGGAAATATAGGCTGTCTATCTAGTCAGCACCATGAATAAGCACACAGGACGTAAGACTTTTGTCATTAATACAATGCAATGCAACAAACCACGTGACATACCAGGGGTCTAGAAGTATTGAGCCAGTGATAGATTTCCCCATTACGAAACCATGTAAGTTGCCTTTTCGCAAAATTCCTGCATAACAAATTTCCAAAAGCCAAATTTATCTTTACCTCTAGTCTTTTCTTGATTAACCCTTGTTTAACCCATGTTTCAAAATTTAATGGACTTCTTAAGAAGACAAGACAAGCCAAAATGTTCTCAACATATGAACCCCCTGACCTTAACCCCATAAACTACAACCCCATAATTAGTGGGTAGCAACTCAGCTGAGCTCTTTTATCTTTTTGGTAGGTGAATTCTACACTAGAACTAAAAAATAAACACATTACAATAATTTAGGCCAAGTGGGACCAAAACTAAACACATTTTAATTGATGCACAAATTCAGTAAAGCTTCTTAGTAAGACATTTAGTGGTCAAAACTGACGATGAAGAATTTCTTCATAGAGAGTGTTCAGTAATTAGACTCAATTAATCATACAAACTGAGAACATAAATGGCATATTCAACCTGGACCGTAGGAAATTGCATGGGATATAAGTTCCATGAGAACTATTTGACTACAAAATATGCATCAAGTTGAAAAGAAATTTTGTTGAATGGAAAGCCAGCAATCTTTATTGGTACCAGGTGTAGGAAAATTGAAAGGCAAAATTCATGTTAATAAGATAAATGTTAGCTTAAATATAGGGTTGTTTAGTCTTTTAAGAACAGAAAGAATAATAAATAAGATTATTTATAAGGAAATACAAGTCGAACCAACTAAGACTTTAAGATAAAAACAACTTAGATGATTTGACAGTCCGCATGCAAATATAGTACTAGAGATGTTTTGGGGAGTGTGTGTCAAGTGTTGTTTGAATCAAGTAGAATAGTGAAAATCACACTAGTTAAATTAGTACAATGGGATTCAGCATCAGAAAAGATCAAATAGCCACTTTAACTTGTCCAGATATAGTTCAATGGGATTGAGTTGGCAATTGGAAGCAAAATACCTAGAAGCCTTCTGAAACTCTGATAAAAAAGCATGGAACTCTCTTGTTGAGCTTTCACCCCTTTGTTCCCTACATCTTACCAGGTATTTCATAGCCTGAAATCAACAGACCATTAAAATCAAATGAGTCACTTTTGCTGCTCAAAAACTGAAAAAGAAAAACATACAAGAGAAAAAAGGGCAAAATCTAGGGAAGAACTAAACAAATTAGATGCATACCCCAGTAGGAAGAGAAGAGAAAGAGAGTAACAATAATGAAGTTTTTAGCAGTGTTGCGAAAAGGCTTGCCTAGGCAGCACCTAAGCACTAGGTGGCACTCCACCGCCTTTCCTAGGCCCTAGGCAGTGGAGCTAGGCATTGTTTCTACTTTTTAGATTTTCTGTTATTTTTTGACATTTTTTGCTGAAAAATAAAAATGTTTGGAGCACTTAGCAGCACTTAGATCTTATGCCGTGCCTAAGCACTGCCTTGGCGTTAGGCAGTGGCCCAACGCCTTCTGGAACACTGGTCTTTACTTAATTCATCAATTGCATTCAATTGCATTAATTACCACAGTCAGCATTTTAAATCTGAGAACTGAACTAGAACTTCCCAAAGAAGTTAGACTGACAGGGCTAAAAATGTAACGGTGTTATGATAAGCAGTTGAAGAGGAGACAAAAACCCATCTAAAAATGCATATTTGAAATTAGTACCAAACAGCATTCTGTAGTACCAAACTACACAAAGTTCTATTTACAAATTTCCATGATTTCAATGACCTCTGCTCAGCAACAAGAACTCAAGAAGCAATGTGTTCAGACTTTATAAAATGACCTATCCTATATTAATTATTCAAATTATCTCCCATATCCGTTATGTTTCTTAGCTGATCTCTAACCAGAACATTAATGATATCAAATCTAATATGAATATGTGATAAAACTTATTCAACCCTCTTACAATTTTACTTATCATCGTTTTCTCCTTCCTTGAATCACAGCCACAAAGATATTTCTAAAACTTCTTTTAGTATACTTGTTGACTTGCCAAAATGGATGAAGTCTCATCTATCCAAATGAGGTGGGATAAATCACCAAAGTTTGCGTAGAAATTGATTAGGGTTGAAGGATCGGTTAAGCATGAGAAAAGTGTTAGCACCCCCACAATTTCCACATAAATATGGTTACTATATTCTTTAATTTTGGGAAATTTTCAATTTTATCAAAAATAATAATTACCAAAATAAACACAAAAAAAGACTTAAATTAAAACACCTCATTATCTTTTCCCGTTTCGATTATTCTTTTTTTTTTTTTTGTTTCTGTTTTCATTTGTTTTTGTTCATTTTTTTTCCTGCACTTTTTCTGTTTTTGGTTTCTGTTTTTTTTCCTAATGCATTTCAAAAGAATAGCAAATGCAAGAAAAATTTTGTTCATTATTCCATATTACTGGAGCACAAACTTAACTCAAAGTACCCATATCCTCACCCAAGCAGCAACTTCCAAATGATACCCAAGTTCAGGGGAACAAAAAAGAAACAGTGACTAAACTTAAACTGATGGTAATTGATGAGCTGAATTTATATGCATATTAATGTGAAATTATTATTTTGATATTGTTGATATTTGGATGAGTTTTATGAGATTTTATTTGATTTTACATAATTTTTATTTTTTTGTATAGGAAAGGACTTAATTGAAAAAAATTATAATTTTTAGAAATAAATTGCAGAGATCAGAAACTTAAGGATCAACTTGTGCAAAATCCAGAAGTCAGGGACCGGGACTGTTATTTTACCATTACAGAAATTGCTAAGAAGGCCAAAAAACCGACACGGTGAGGGCATTGCTCACTGAGCAGAAAGTGTCGGCACCTTGTTGAAGGTGTTGACCCTTTACATGATTTTCACAAAATCCATGCTTAATTAGTTTTTATGGGTGTGGGTCTCACTTCTATTCCAATTAGGGTTCCTAAAATCCTATAAGGGAAATGATTTTGGGATAACCTTTTTATCCCACCTTTTGGTACAACCTGACGTGTTATTAAAATGATTGGTTCTTTTAATTTATATGAGACCCGTGATATGAAATGCATCCACTCGTTTAATGATATGTGGAAGTTGTATCAAAAGGGGAGATAAAAAAGTTGTCCCAATAGCACTGCCCATCCAAATTCAAAATTAAAAGAGAGCTTTAAGAGATTGGTGGCAACCCTCTTTTGGGTATTATTGGAGATCAAGATAGAGATTTCATTAAAGATAGAAGATCAAGGAGTTTAATTCCCTCAAATTGAGTTTTGTTTTTTCTTAGATTCTTTGTTTTTTTTTATTGTTTGATATTCGAATATTCATAATCGAATGTTCATAATTATAATTTCAAGTTTTATTATTTTTATTATAAATTGATTTAGTCAACTAGGACTAAGATGTAGCCTAATCAATTCAATATGGATTTTTATGATTTTTATAATTTTGAGATTGCTATTCTATAATAAGTATATATTATTGTTTTTAATGATTTTTAATGCTTAATCACCATTAAAATTGATTTGAAGAGTATAATTGAGATCGAGAGGAGATTTTATAATTATAACTTCTAATAATATATACCATGAATTGAACGAAAGCTAGAGATGGACCAACGTGATTCGTGCAGGATTAGTGATAAGTGAACTTAATTTTCTACGTAAACTAAAGAATTTCATAAAATATAATGCATCTTTGTTTATTTAAATTTACATAGAGATATAGTGGGTTAATGGATTAAGATAGGTTTGATATAACTTGAGAAAGTATATGGAATAGGATAGGAAATGTCGTTGTCACATAAATAGTAATATCTTGAAAGTATAATAATCGAAAATCCATATTAATTGTTTATGATGAAGTCGATACCTTAATACCTCATATCTTGGTTAGTTTTATTTTAATTGTTATTTTTTTATTAATTGTAATTAAAGTTTCTTCCTTTTCAATTGTTCAAATAAATTTGAATTAATTATTTTGGTACTTAGTTAAATACAATTCTCGTGGGTTCGACACTCTACTTATTATTATATTACTTGGAACGACTAGTACACTTATTAGGGTAATTTTAGCACATCAGTAATTAGTTTTGTTAAATTACTCTGATCAAATAAAAAGAAAACAGCCATGGAACTAGGTGACGAGCAAAACAGGAGACAACCAAATAAAGGAAGAAAATATGTATGCAACAAGAAAACACCCAATAAAATTTTTCTCAAGATTATTTATAAACAAACCATGTAAAGAACCATATTAATATAGCAACCAAGAAACAAGAGAAACAAAGAAAAAGGAAACAAAAATAGAAAATTGAGATTCAAGATCCAAATTCTTCCATATTCTCATAAATAAA